CGTCGCGCCCCGCGCTCGGCCCCGCTCGAGTCCTCGCCGTGGAGCGAGGGAGCCGCCCTCGCGCTTACCTTGCCCAGACACGTGTACGCGGGGACGGAGGATGGCGGAGGGGGGGGTGGCGGGCGGGGGGTCCCCGAGGAGCCCCCGCGAGCGGGCCCGCCGCTGCCCAGCCCTCGCGGCGACGCGGCGGGCACCCGGCAAATGGTTGGCTTTGGCACGGCGCTTCTCAGGCAGTTGCTCCGATGAGGGCAGCGAGCTGTGAAGCTGCTCCCCGCCTCGGCGTTACCATCTCGCCAGCCACGCAGTCCAGGGGAAAAACATCGCCTTCAAGCGCTAGCGTCATCTCCATCGAGGGCGTCGGGCTGTCTGGCTGGGAATAGCATTACGTACCGGACCGGCGTGCGCTCCGGGTTCAACACTGACACCTTCTTCAACCGAGAGAAAACGAGGACCCCAAAGGATAACATGCAACACAGATGGAAAACAGGGAGGACCGCATTGAAAGATGCTTCTGGGTCAGGGCTGCGCCGCTTCCCCGGTTCAACAGCACCATCTCCTGGGTGGCCGCGGCCACTCCGCCCGGCTGCCGGCGGCTCAACCCCCCACCGAGAGCAGTTCCCCGAGGAGACCCTCCGCAACCTTCCTCTGGGGCCACCGAGAATTTTTAGTTTATTTGCCTTCCTTTCAGGCAGTATCAGTCGTCTTCTCGCACCTGTTTCCTTCCACGTATTATTGCTTGTCTCTCGTGGAGTATCACAGACAGATGAGCAAGCACGTGAAATACCGAAGAATCCCCGATTCTGTCTATTTTTAAGGTCAGCAGGACAAGACATTCTTGAATACCAGCCCTAAAACTGATCTCTTCCGAGCTGTGAAGCTTTGAATATGTACCCAGTCTTCATGCAGCACTGCATCTTTGAAGTAATCAAAAAGCACAGCTTCTCAGCAAATACCTAAATTTTCCTTAAGCAAAAAAACCCCAAACCAAAACTAAAAAAAAATCCAAACCCTAACTCTACTTGAAGAGCTGCTTAGATTTTAGACAAGTGAAATGGTGGGTAAGAACAGAAACATTAGGTTTCATAGTATTACCATTCAACGGGGAAGTCTTGTCTGACAAGGAGTATTTCAAAGATAGTCATTGTGGTGTGTATTTGAAAGCTCTAAAAGCCTTGTTGAGATACCCCTATAAAAGCATGTATTTTTCACTCACTAGATTATAGGTTTAAGACTAAAGGCTCCAAAACTATATACAGCTGTTATAGTACAAGTAGCAAATCACTTCTCTCTATTTTAGTTTATATTAGTCTGCAAAATGAAGATTCGAGCGCCCCACCTCACTGTTTCGAGGCTAAATTGCACATAAAATCCTTCAGGCTTTGAAGAATGTGCTTATATAACAAGCAAAAAAAGTGTAATTCAATTAATTTTTTTCTAATTCAACACTCCTGCAAAGCCCCTCTTGACTCAATTCGCTGTTAAATGCTAAGTAAAATTTTACAGAAGCTCATCTTTAAAAGATGCTAAGTAAGCCCCCTGTGCAAGCTTTATGTTAAAAGGGACGAAATATAACTACAAAAACACAGACACACATGCCAGCATCTCAGTGTATGTGTAGGAGCAGTCTCATGGCTTTTTATGTAGAACAGCTGCAACAATTTAAAAAAAAAAAAAAATCATTGTCTCTCTGTTGTTTGTTAGAATTAACTTCTTTAATTGGCAAAGCTGTTTCAAAATTAATATTGAACTTGGCCCTTGTATTCTTCTTAGGTCCTTACAAACCATCACCACCTGCACATATTTAAGGTAAACAAGGTACTTTGGAAATTACAGTATGTATTTCAACAGCTAGCAAAAAGTTTCTAGTGACTCCCTCCATCTTTAAGGAAGCCTAGTACATTTATTTACTCTGATTCAAAAGATCTTAAAATGTTAAAATCATTTGAGAATGAAAGTGACCCATAAAAGATTTTCTTTCTTCTAGAGAAGGGAGCACAAGCCAGCAGCCTGCTGTCTTGCAAGCACTTCTGCTGTCTGATTAAGAAGTGATCTTCGAAACTGAAGATACAAATGCTTGTTGATTATGTACAGCACTGTACCCTCCTCTCAGCCACACCCTATGACTACCACGAATTTTATATGGTACTATGGTCTTTCTAAGTAAAACCACCATTGCTCCTGATCTACTCTCTCACTTCCAGTGAAACGTCCCCACCAGGACCAGTTCAAGAAGAGCAAAGAAACCCTACCTCCTCTTGGGTGAAGGTTTAGGACAGCAGATTGGTTTTGGAAATTGAACGTTCGTCTGTTTAGTCTAAAAGTCAAGGATTTTTCAGTTTCTCATGCCCGGCCAGCAAGAAGGCTGGAGGGGCACAAGAAGTTGGGAGGGGACACAGCCAGGGCAGCTGACCCAAACTGGCCAAAAGGGTATTCCATACCATGGGATGTCATGCCTAGTGTATGAACTGGGGGGAGCTGGCCTGGGAGGATCGCTGCTCGGGAGGTAACTGAGCATCAATTGGAGGGTGGTGAGCAATTGCATTGTGCATCACTTGTTTTGTATATGCCAATCCTTTTATTAGTATTGTCATTTTAGTATTGTTGTTATCACTATTAGTTTCTTCCTTTCTGTTCTGTTAAACTGTTCTTAGTTTCACAAGTTTCACCTTTTTCCTTCTGATTCTCTCCCCCATCCCACTGGATGGGGGGGGAGTGAGTGAGCAGCTGCGTGGTGCTTAGTTGCTGGCTGGGGTTAAACCACGACAGAAGTCTAACAATTTGACAGTGATTTTTTATTGCAGTTGGATTAACACGAGCATTTATATAGATGTAATATGTAAAACAACCACTCATGCACACAGAGCCTGGAAAGTTATGGCTTATACAGGAATGCAGGCAGAAGTCACATTTTAAATTCTCACTCTTGTGGCTTTGTCACACACAACTTTATGGTATCACTGTTGCTTTTACTAGGTCAATCACAACACATTCCAATCACGCAAAGGATAGAAAGAAACGCTACTATATAGCGTTATGTAAAATTTTAACCAGATAATTAAAAACTAAAAAGTCTAAGGGGAAGGAAGTAGAGAAAGTAGAAAAAAATTTATAGCTTTGGTAAAAGCAGGTGGAGGGGTCAATTATATGGAACTTAGTGACTGGGCCTGAAAGTAGCTCATGGTCGCAAGAGCATTCCAGACACCTTTAGAAGGCCTTGAACAGAATAAACAAGAAGACAGAAAAACAAAGATCCCAATTAGAAAAACACAGGTGCGCATTCCACGATAAAGGGAACTTGGCACAAACAACCTCAATTCGGCAGTTTATCTTGACCAATTAGACTGAGACGAGTTTCACATGTTTTAGTTAATACAGCCAATTATGTCCTATGTTTATGCACGTGTACAGAGTTAGTATAACCAACTATATCTTATGTTTATACGCGTGTACAGTGTCGATATAACCAATCACATTTTATGCTTGTGCGCGTGGACACTAAATGCTTGCATGCAGCAGCCAATCAAAGCTTCTTAGGAACTTAGAGAATTGTATAGGAATGATCAGCTAGGCTCAATAAACTGGCGACTTTGATCATCATATTGGTGTCCTGTCATCTGTCCCCGCATGGAATTTCGCAACAAGCATGAACTCATGCTGGGAGAAAAACGTTGCTGCTTAGTGGAGTAAGAAGACCCGACAATGCTAAAGTTACCTTTATGTTAGACTACCAGCAGATGGTACTGAAAAATATTCAACGTTTGCAGAAGAATAAAGAATAGAGCTCTATGAAACAGCAGATTCGGGGTTTTGGTTTTTTTAATAGATTTATTTAGTAGCCAGACCAAGAGTTAACCATTGAAGCAGAAAATAATTTAATTTTCATTACCTTATTCTGTGTTTACTGTGTACCTCCATTTCAATAGGTCTTTTGACACAAATAACCAAAGACTTCTGAAATTCACTTATTTTTCTAAACATCTTTTTACATTCAGAATGGCAAAAACTAGTCACGAAAGATTAGCTATAAGAAAGCTTATTTAATTTGAATTCAAAAAGAGGTAACCCTGAAATGGTCAGAACTAACCTTCATCTATACCTAAAGTTTTTCATTCCATGAATGTGATGTGGTATATGAGCAAAAAATCCTGCACTCCTATCTCCATGCCTAACAGCCACAGGTGACTGCCTCTGAGCGTAACTTATTCATACTCAGTGGTCATTCAGTCACCTCTACTGGCACTGGGCAGCTGTCATGAACAAGTGAATACATAGAGAACGTACACACTGTATTTAATCCTGGTGATACTGACTGCATTAAAACTATACAGTAAGCTTACTGTAACAAGTTTGGCAAATTCTGTGAAGAATGTACCAGTATAGTTTCTCCACTGGACAGCTTGCTCAAGTGGAGAGATTTAGAACTGGAACTTGCATCAAACCTCTCTTGTCTGCAAGATCCAGTCCTGACTTCCTCTTCTACTGACCATTTGTATTTTTCCTTTCTCTAACACATTTTCTATCCTATGCAGTGGAAAACATTTTAGGTTTCACATCAAAAGTAGCATCAGTTTCCTTACTCATTTAAAATAAAGAAGAACTACTGTAGAAAATCAACATAAAATACAGTTTATTTCCAATCATTTGCCTAACTCACATGCAAATTGTTTATATTAATAAAAGTAAACTGCATTTAGAAACAGCTTGGTTAGCTTTTAACCTTAGCAGTATTGTTGTACAGCTGAAGCTACACTGGTTAATATAATTTGCTTTCACCTAGGGAAACATGGTTAGATAGGTATTGAAGACTTCAGAGACTTTCCACAAAGAAGTATTTATCTATTCAGTAGCCTCTCTGCTGCACTCATCTTATCTACATGAAACACTTCATCTGTTAATCCCACGTTTGAAGACCATACTCTTTGCAGCACAGCAGTCAGGAGAAAATACTCGGAGATACAACAAACATAAAAAGATAACTTAGCAACTAGCAAATAATACAAGATTACAGTAGTAACTGAAGTATTGTCCTGTACTATTTCAAGCTAGAACACTGAAGCCTCAAACAATTCCCACATTTTAGCACTGACACAGAACTGCAATACACAAAGTATATAAGCAGAGGGGAAAGCTGCTTTGCAAGAGGTAGAAAAGGTTTTATAAAATCTTTAGGCACAATTCTTAGCAATCTTTTAAAAAGCCATCAGAAAGTTACAAAGTAATAATGACCATTATACATGTATTTGTACAAGTCTGTTTATTTTTACCCTTTGGAATAAAAGTATATTTCATGCACTCTCATATATTCTTTTTTTCTCCTATATCATATGTGATTACAGAAGTTTTATAGGCTCTCAGGAAGTCTTATCACCAGGAGTTATACAGCAAAACTGATGCACAATTACTTAACGCTTTTTCAAGAGGAACAAGGGAATGCAAACGCTCTTTGCGTAGGTTCATGTATCAAAGACCAGATAAACACGTACTCAAAATCCATAAAAATATTATTAGTTATTTTGGTTTACTCCCACCACAATCAAGAAAAGAATGCTTTTAGAAGTGAACTTTTTTAAAACAGAGATTTCCACAAATGTACGCTTTACAGTGCAGTGGTTATACTCAAATTTTCACAATATCCATAAATCAAAATACCAAGATCACTACATTTACCACGAGCTAACAGACATTCACAGAGAAATCTTAGTGTCAGTTCAAAAAGATGCCTGCTTTGAGCTAAAGTACGTAAGGCTTTACTGGTAACAAGTTCTTATCGAAGATTTGCTTTATTCCCGTCACAGCATCTTTTTTTTGCTCTTCTTTACTTTTTGTCTTGGTCTTTTTCTGCATCCAGAAGTGCTGAACGGATTCCTAGCTTCTTCAGCTCTTCTACGAGATCTCCATTCTGATGCATCTGGAGGAGTATATCACAGCCACCAACGAATTCACCATTGAGGTATACTTGTGGGATGGTAGGCCAGTTAGAGTAGTTTTTTATTCCTGCATAAGAAAAAAAAAATATTAAAGGTTTTCCCCCCATCTCCAAATAGAATGGTATTTTAAATAGAATACATTGCTTCTACCTGACAGTACTACTGGTATTTTCATTTCTGGCCCATTGAGGCAAAAATTTATCTATGTAACAGGAGCACTATCAGAAAAACTACATTAAAGTTAGGTTTGGTTCTCACTCCAGCTCAAAGATGTGGGTTGAAAGATATGGAGTCAGCTCCTATACTGACTTCAAACAGGAGCTAGGAAAAGGTAGCATCTCTTTTCCCTCCCAGGAAACGAGCAAATAGGATTTTTCAATCAATTAAAGAAATAAGAAGTATTGAAAAATACTGAGAACTGTTTACATTCAGTTATCCTTTATATTTCCCAAAGGTACTTTAAAATATTTTATGTTCTTACTGAATTCATACAGTTATACTTACTACTGCAATTTCAATTGCAAGATATATTTGCCCCTTTAGAAGCCTTATGAATTTCAAATTGCTTTATCTTTCATTGCCAGACCTTACAGCCCATGGGAGGGGCACAAAGGCTGAAGTCTCTTTAAAAGTACTCATTAAACAAAACAGAGCTCAAGTCACAATTACGAAGTACAGAATTAAAGTTTAAAACTATACTTCATAGAAGACAAATGTAAGACCATCCAAAAATATTAACTGATCAGCTGGTATAAATTGAATCCCAACTTGCACTTAAAGACATCACGCAAGAAATTACACAGAAGAATCATATCTAATTTGCCACTTTTTAAATGACCCTTCACACAAAGCCATTATTTCTATAGCAGAGGAAGTAGTCAAATTCTACATCTGCATGCTCTTATACCAAGTCCACCAGCACTTGCTTAGATGCCAAGTTTTGAATTCAACATTTTTATACGTTTTTCAATATGTAATGCCTGTAATTTTTCTACTAAAGGCACAAAAGCCTGTATAACAAATTTAAGCCTACAGACAACAGAAGTCCCTTTTCAGATCTGAGCCCATTCACCTTGGAAGTCAACCCTCTAAACAAGCATGTGTGAGCTTTAGCGTAGGCTGTCAAAGTACTAACAGCAAGTATTAGACCTGTATAGCAGAAAACACAAGGGAATTTGCTTTCCCCTTAGAAAACATTTTAGCCTCTATAAAGACTGTAAAGGTAAAAACCAAAATATTTGAGGTAAAAAATAGCCATACAAGCAAATTATGTTTACGTGATTGGAATTTAATACACTTCCTTTTTTACTGCATAAGTGCATAAATATACAATAGGATTATGATTTTAATGCATAAAAGATGAAATAGACCTAAGAATTCCCCTTAGTCAAATACCAGTGTGTTTAAAAAAAAAAACCACTAAAATAAGAGTAATCTAGAAAAAAAAATTGTTGTGACAAAGTGTTCCTAACCATGAAGTACAACATCAGCTAGGAGATTTTATTTTGACTTCAGATTTTGTGCATGGAAAATTAATGCTTCAAAAGTCCAAACCAGCAAGCTTAGCATATAAATCAAGACCAAAGGGAACCCATAACCATCTAACCTAATCTCCAACATCACCTCCTGTAACTTCTTCCTTAGTATTTCATTAAAACCTCTCTCAGTTGTTTAAATACAGTTTGCAGAAATTATAAGCTTTGATGGCACTTTGTGTTTATCAGTACTTTTCTTTAACATTCCTTGGCCTTTGAGCACTGAGAACTGCTCTAACTGTCCTAAAAATCTTTTAACCCATAATAGTCGCAATGAAAAAGTGAGTCCCAACATTAAGGCATGCTTAAAGATAACCCTACTCAAAGGGGCCACTGCAGATATGAAATAGGGTTTGTTTTTGTTAAGATATTGTAATGCTAAACGTGAACTGAGAACCAAGGGCTCTGCATAATAAACCTACTGCTAATAAGCGTTCCAGGGTAATATTTACACCAATCATTCTTTCACAGAACTATTTTCTGCAAGGACCCAACTGCACATACATGCAAGCGCTGGTAGTACTTTCAAGGATCTATCCAACTTCAGATAAAAATACGAATACTATCAGGCTTAGTTTCTCTGTATGCTGCGTTTCATGTATTAGACAAGCTGCTTTAAAAGCCTTCGTGCTGGGGCTCAACTAGATTACAAATTGAATACCTCCTGAACTGGCTAACCAACTCCTAGCTTAGCAGAGCAGTTACTGATCCTATTTCAGTAGTGTTAAAGCATGTTAGCCTGGTCTATGCTTGCTGCCCTCGGATGCACTTTTGTGACGGATCCTTCAGCAGCACAGACATCCCAAGGGACTTCCTTCCCACTCCCTGCAGGTTAACAAAGCTTCTGCTTTGAAGTGCTGTTTGCTTTGTAAAACCACACTCCACAGATCAAGGTTAGAGTTTGACAGCTGAGCTAGTACACTTTGACTGTGAAACCAGAATCAGTGCAAACTGCTACTGAAAGGGGTACCTAGCGCACTCCCACCCCATTTCCCCAACTCCAGTTACCAATTCTCAGCCTCCCTCTTGCCAGCATTAGCACTAATCAATGACGGGCCACATCAGAGAACTGACTCAAGCAACAAGTCTCACTCCTACCACACTTTCTCTAGGAAAGCAACACATTTTCATGGAGATCGTTAGTACTGGTGCAAGTATGACTGAGGGAAAGCTAGCCCAAGGGCCAGAGGAAGGATCAAGACCACCCTCTCGGCAGCATCCCATACTTAGGTAATGTAAAGCAACAATGAAAATAATCTGAGGGTGAACTACCACAACAGTTTAAACCACCACTTTTCCAATATGTAATGCCAAGCTTCTCTGCCACCTTAGTGACCTGAACCAGCCTAATGCTGTCCATCACCTGAGAGCACGATCACTTCTGGAAGAGCAAACTCAGAGAAACTTGAATTGCCATGGAGTCCAAGAGAGGGCCGAGGTCTCTTAAACCAGCTTTAATAAGGAAGGATTTGTGTCAGGGAAGCATATCCTCAGCTCAAGTTCAGAAAAATCACATGAAGTGCCATTTAGTTGGTACTAGTTAGTACTATTTAGTTTCACAGATCTGAGTGTGCTTTTAGGTGAAGAGGCAAGTAGGGGAATTGTTCTGGTTTTACAGCTTGCCATATTTTAGAGCAGGGCAAGTTTCAGCAATCAAACTATAACAACCTGAAAATAAGGTGTTTCAATGGAACAGGAAAGAAACCAATCAGCACTTCAAATATGCCTCAATCACCATCTCTCCAACAGCCTGCTCTTACTACAAATGTATAAGCATACATATATGCAAAGATTTAAGTTATGTTCAGGGGAATACAAAGCTGGTCACCAGCTCACATACAGTAATCTCCTTGCAGATCAATCTGTAGTTGATGTATTTGATATTTTCACAGCTAAAGGTTCAGCATCCCCTCGCTAACCCCGCACGCATGCATGCAGATTATGTTCACAGAGAGGACTTTGGAAAGCGTCACAAGCTGCATACCTTAACTTTTCAGCACCTGAGGCCAGATCCCGGGGGAGACTAAGAGGGCCTTCAGGCAGCCACTGCTGAATCATACTTGGCAACTTAAAGAGCTACAGCTTCCAGCAGCCCTCTCCTCTGTCAGAGATTGCCATCCACAGAAGCAGGCACATACTGGCTTTTTAAGGGTGCAGTAGGTAATAGAGCTGAAGCAGTACAACAGCCCACTGGCCTTGAAAGTAGTGATGTCGTTCCCCAACTCTTCAAGGCTCCACCCCTGGTGCTGGCTCTGGCACTCACCTCACAGTACAACAAGCTAGTTCAACTCGCACGCCCAGTGATCCAGTTAATAAATTGAGCTGGCTCTCCGTGCAGTCGGACCAGTGCCAAAGCTGATGCATGGAAGGGAACAGAACAACTTCTTTAAGCACCTGAGAACCAGCAGGATATTGTGCAAGTGTACGCTCTGTTACTGGCTTAGCCAAACAGTCTGGATCAAACCACTGATTTTAATTTAAAGCTCAGGTAGCCAGGAGGGCAATAACCTCTCAGATCACCTAGCACAAGCCAGAGTTCATTTGGAGGAAAAAATTAACGTGCTCAGAAGGGAGATGTTCCTGTTACATAGGAAGAAAATATTACATATTCACATGGTCAGCTCCCTAGAGACTATAAATTACAAATTCCTTGCCCGTTCCAAGGGCTCACAAAAGCCCTCTCAACCAAAAGTGAAATGCTGATAGTTTGATTTCAAGGTTTTGTTTCCTCCTTTTTAGTTTATGAGTTTGTTCTAGTAAACCGTACAATTAATAATGATACAGATATGTAAATAAAATTTAGAAAACTACCATGATTTGCTCACCTGCCAAAGGCAGTAGAAGATTTACTTGAACAAAACCAACATACATTAACAAAAAATGTCATCACATCCAAATTCCAGTATTTAAGCTTTTACACCATACCAACTATTACACCTGTTAGCTGAAAAGCAAGCAAAGATTGGAAAAATCAGCCTTTCAGCTAAAAGCTAACAAAACCCTGTATTAGTCAGATGATTCCAAAAACACAGAAGGAAGTCACCTGATACATGCCAGTATGTGGCTTTAAAGCACATTTTAGTGGATTCTGGACAAGAACTGTTAATGCCGTGCACCTGCAAGACTTAATTACTACATACTATTATTTTTTGTTTGTTTGTTTTAAAACTTTCTCAAACACATAAAACCTCAACGGTCAGCTATGCACATCGAAGACAGAAAGAAGAAAAGCATTATGAGAACAGCATACTAGCTTTCTACAACTGGCAAACCCCCTTATATAGAATAGCTCCTGCCACTTGAGCAGTAATGGTGAAACAATTACTAAATACTTCTTGTGCAAATTATTAGCATAATCTTGCACGTTATCAGAAGATCCCCAGCAGGCAGTGCCAGCAGGGAATCAAGCGGTACAAGTCCAAGCCATTCATGAAATTTCACCATACTGTTCACAGGGAGGATGAAATCTGGTAATGAAGTATTTTAGGGGTCTTTTAAGGCACCTTTGTATCTATTAGCTAGGCAAGGCAGCGTAGCACGAAAAGCCCGATCTCCAAGAGCTACCCCATAAGCATAACTGCATTCTGCTGAAAACTAAGACACTCTCCGACACAGCATGGGTTACAGAAACCAGACGGGGACGTCCAGGCAAAGCGACCTCAATGGCACAGCTCTGTGACACGCTTCAAATTCCGCAAACCCCCCAGCCCCGGGACGTGGGCCCGCTTAAAAAACCGACCAACCCCCCAAAAAAAAAAAAAAAAAAACCAAAAAAAAACCAAGAAAGCTAGCAAAAGCAAGCTAACTCTGTGAAAAGCGGCGGGGGGGCTGCCACCCGGAGCCCGGCAGGAGGTCCGAGGCGTCAGGGCAGCCCCGACCGCCGGCGGGGTTACACCCGCCGGAGCCTCCGGCGGCCCTTCCGAGAGGGAAGCCGGGACTTCGGGGTCCTGGCTCTGCCCCGTCACAGCGGCGTTTCCCAAAGAGAAGCCCGGGGCCGGCTCGGGCTATGCGCAAGCCCCCGCAGCGGGGGAGGCGGCGCCCAAAGGTGACCCCCGGCAGCCGCCGCGCCCGGCCCCGGCCCGGGGCCGCCGCTGACCTTGGCGGAGGTCGGGGTCCTGTAGGACGTCGTGGGCGCGGTAGTCCTCCACGCCGTGCAGGCGCAGGATCTGCACGACGGCGTTGCTGAAGCCGCAGAGGGGCTGCGCCGGGCTGCCCTTCATGAACACCACCACCGGGTGCGCCCGCACCAGCCGCTCCACCG